GCTTAATCGGTGAGTTACTCTGGCTTCCGTGCCCTTACACCTACAGTTAGATTGAGATAGCTCTAAAAAAAAAAAAAGGAGAAAAGGAAAAAAAAAAATTCCCAAAGGAGGAATCTCTTCATTCTGTTCTGCCCATCCCTAAGCTCTGGCACTGACCTTTTTCCAAAAAGTCTCTTTGCGGTCTCCTTCTGCTAGGAACACGGGGTCAAGTCCACGCAGACCAGTGTGGTTCTGCAGTCTGGGACTACACCCCTAGCCCCGGCTGCCAGCCTTTAAGACAACCAGAAGTTGCTGGAAGCTGCTGGAGCTGTGACCATCAGGATGCCCCTGAGTGATGGAATTATAAACAATCCTTTAGTCTTTTTGTTGCTGTTGTTTTCTATTTTTCTAATTTTCTACAGTTTCCTATTATTCAGAAAAGGTAACCCAATAGCCAATAATAGCGTCGTCTAAGAACTAACAATAATGCTTAAGAAATATTTTGCACCATGGGGGCCTCAATGGGAAGAGTAAAAACACAGCCCACCAAGCTGACTGCTTTGAGAGACACCAGGATCTTTTGTGTCTATCAACTCTGGTGGGCTTGTTCAAAAGCCTGTTCCCTTACTCTGCCGGATACCAGCTAGAAGACAGCACAGGAGCCAACCTGGCTGGGAGGCACCCGTGATTTCTAAATATGGTGAAATCACCTCTCCCTAGACTCAGAGGGCTGCATTTGTCCACTGGGATGGTTGGCCCCTGGAGCAAGGAGGAACAGTTTCCGAAAAGGCAGCGTCCCTTTAGCTGCGAGAATCACCCAAGGAACCCTCACAAACCACACCAAAGATGACCAGAGTGTATTTCTTTCCACTCCTTTCCCTCAGACACTTGAAAACCAGTTAGTTAAGGCTCCCAGAATAAGCCAGGTGAAGACAGAGTCAATGCCTCTGGGTGCTTGATTTCATTACGCTGAGCCTGACTCCGGGGGGGGCAGCTTTAGGGACCTAAGCAGCACATCCCCCATTAAATCAGAACAACAATGCATGGTTCATTTCAGACCTCTTCTCATGACCGTGGAGGACTATTACGAGGTAGGACCCATACTCAGGAGTTCCAGGAGATCGTCTTCCCTTATCAAAGGAAAGGCAAGCATTATTAGGTGGAGCCACTCGCCCCCAACGAGAGAAGATGCCAGAATGGGCTCAGGGTGCTGCATATGGACACATGATCAAGGAAGGCTTTGTCATGATTTGGCGGAGATGTTGAGTCTTCCTGACTTTGTGATCCCTGAAGCTGAGAGGATGTATTTATTGAAAGGCTGAGGCTTTCAGGAGGACTGAAGCTGGAATAGGCACATTTAGATTTTTTTTTTTTTAATATTTCAATGCCAGGAAGCTACTGACCTCCTTTTGAAGCCTACAGCCACAACAGATGAGGAAGGTGGCTGCTTGGAGTGTGAGAATGAGCCCCTCTGGGGACAAATGCCTGAACTCTTTTAATCAACTACTTCAAGTTGATGCAGAAAGAAAGTGGAAGTGAGTGGAGGGAGAGGAAAAGGAAACATGGAGAAACCAAAGCTCCCAAAATGGGGAGAGAAAGACACAGGACCTCTTTCCAGGCAGACACTCCACTTTCCTGAATCCCCAGTCTCATAGGGTAAGGGAGGAAATGCAAGCTGAAATGGGCCCCACGCTTAAGGCTGATTCGCACGGAGCTCAAAACACATCCATGGTCAGAGAACTTGCACGCACACCTGTTAAGGAATTTGAACTGACCTGGGGTCAGGGCTGGGGCTTTAATGAGGCTGCTAACCCTAAATCCCATCCGAAGGTTGGGTTCTACTATGAGGTGAAGTTGGCAGAGGCTCCTTCTTCCTTCTCCCTCCCCCCTCCCTTTCTTCTTCCTCAGCCAGGCCACTGCCTCAGCAATACCACGGGGCGGCAGGTCTTAACCTGGACCCCCTAGGTTGGAGGGATCGAGCCCACCCAGGCAAGGACCTGCCATCTGTACGGGGCTTCCATCCTGACCACGTGGCTTAGGCTTTTTATTGGCCCCAAGCAGGATCAGACCTCAGAGTGAATCTGTTCCTATCTGGCTGGCTCAATGCTCCCGTTCTCCTGTTGGTGAGGTAAGCCCAGGTGGTTGACTTCTTTCTTAGGAATCTCTTAACATTTCAGGAAGGTTTTGAAGGGACACAATAAGCGGTATTAAGGGTCGATTCTAAAGATGAGTAGCTGAAAAGAGTGGCTGATCCATTTATGGCAAGCATGGGACAAAAAAAAGAAGATATAAATAGTCACAGTTCGGTGAGGCAGTATCTTCAAACATGGCTACTTAAGAAAAGTTTAAACGATATCAAGTTGCCCCCTCTAGAAATGCTTTCCCCATTTTCCTGCTGGGAAACAGGTGGAGTTTGGGTCTGGTCACAGACAAGCCCTCTGTTCCCCAAACAGACGCTCATGGACACCTGCCCCTCCCTGCTTGGTGGAGCCCACTCAAGACACTTGGAAGAAAGATACAAGGCCTCTCAGTCTGGGATGCTTCTCAATTTTCCTCAAGCCCTAGTATGCCTCGAAGGGGGAAATCTAACTCTTCAAGAAAAATTTTCTTTAAATTCCACATACAATAGAAAAATTGGGTTTTCCTGAAAATGGTTTCTCTTCTCACAGAATAAATCCTTTATTTTAAAAATCCTTAGAAGCCCAATCGGAAGGTAATAGCATTTCCTGCTCCACACCTCATCCCACATCTCTCGGCACACCCTTACAAGGGGCACGCACACATGAGACCTTTTGCAGAAGCTGCCCCGTGTTGCCGGGAAGGAAGCCTTGAGTAGTACATCCAAACCCGCGCCCGGGTTATATTGATACAAACACACAGAAAATGCACCAGAGGGCTACGCATATACAGACACCCACATTCAGGCCATTCATGCACATGGGATGTCCTATCTGGATGTGAATTACACACACCACACACACACACTCACACTGACACACACAGACAGAGTCAGAAAGAGCAGATGAGGAGACAGGCAGGACTGGTAGCCTGGTGGATAGAAGAGGGAGAGGTGGTTAGTAGGTGAGGGAAGGTGGGACTGGTAGGAAGATAGATCAGAAGACAGGTAGACGAAACAGGTGCTTGGATGGGAAGGAAGGCTGTTGGAGCCTGCTGTTGGCAAAGTGCCCCGAGCACTCTTCATTATGAAGCAACTGAATTCTCAGCTGCATGGTTTGACCCATGACTGTGCAGCTCGGGGATTCACTCTTTGCCTCCCCAGGGCTGCGCAGCCCCCGCAAGGTCCCCGAGGTGACTGTCAGCTGCTCCTGCCCACTCTTCCCAGCAGATGCTCGTCCCTACAGCTTCCACGACTCTGGCTGACTTCGTGGTTCGCCAACACCTGCGGGGCCAATTGGCTCAAATGAGCCCGAGACACTGGGCTGGACTTATGCCACCTCTGTTTGGGGGCTAGCCACTACGACAGCTATTAGGGGATGCATGGCCTTGAATATCAAGAGGAAAAGGAAGAAGATGGAAAGAGTCAAGAGTTCTCCATTAATTTACACAATATCATACAAACTCGAGCCCATGGGACATGGAGGTGCTCTCTCTGCATGTGACCCATTTTCTTTCATCTGTACAGAGGTCGCCCCTAGGAGAGGGGTAGATGTCCAGTGACAAAGGACAGCTTCCACGATGGGGAGTGAAGGTCTGGTTTGGTTTGGTACGTACTTGTACAACAGCAACAGAGGCAACGTTCCTTCTCCCTCCTGAACAGTGCTCCCCCTCTTCTCTCATGGCTTTGGTGCCCAGCTTTGTCTTGAACTTCCAGATTCACAGGACTAAATCCTGCGGCATCCCAGAACTGTGATGTGAAGGACCACGGGGCCCTCTGAGGCCCAATGGGTTTGTTCTTGGTTCTGCCCTCTGGGAATTTCAGCTGCACATTACAAATAATAGAAAAATACAACACAAACGCTAAAACCAGAACATCCACCACACGCACACACGCCAGGGATCCGAAGCTACGGAGCGGGCACCCGCACTGGCTTGCCCCTTCGTTATTCTCCCTTGGTCTTGGGCCTCCGCCCTGGGCCGCAAAACCACCACAAATGATGGAGACAATAGTCATGATGCAGTATTTCCATTTTAAAAGGTGAAAAGGAAAAAAAGGAAACCACCGGGAGTCATCTTGCATGCACACGCGCGCACGCACACACACACACACGCGCACACGCACACGTCACAGCGTTACTCCAAGGCTCCAGTCTGCCCGAGCAGGACGGCAGGTGTGGTCAGGGGCAGGGCGGCCTCTTGTTTAACTGGGTATAAGGCAGCTGGAAGGTAAGACTGGGTTTTCTGAGCATCCACTGAAGTGTCCTTTTATTGACGTGGATTTGCCTCTCAGCACATTGTTCTCTCCCCCTTCCCACCTCTAAAGCTTGGTCCAAAAGTTTGGCAATGAAGAGAAAACTTCCTTCTCACGCTGTTTTCTCTTCCACTTCTCGTGTGTCGCTGGTGGGCCAGGAAGGGAACCAGAACAGGAAGGTCAAGAGAAGTGGCTCTGCAAATGACCTCAAAGATCTGGTTACATTCTATGAACTACGCACAGGCTTTGTTTCTCTGTGATATGATCGGTGTTGGGGTGGTGTCCTCACTGCGGGCCCAATGGACGGCACCACCTTCTCTACATCCGTGCCGCTTCAGACACCACTGGCGACATGTCCCTTCCCGGCCCACCACCCCATCCTTGTGAGGGACGGGAATCAGGACACTACCACGGGGGGGTGATGTTCGTTCTGTCTTCAAGAAACCATGGAGCCAAAAGTTAAGAAGGGATGGAAGAGCCACATGACGGGAACGCTTTCCCCATCCTGGAGATGAGGCAACACAAAGTCCGACGAGATGCGGGTGCCTGGGCCAACTCAACTCTACCTTGGCACTGGCATCATCTTGAGTTAGTTTTGTTTTATATATGTATATTATATATATATTTATATATATATATATATGTATGGGTTTGTTTTTTAGCACACTGTCCCATTCTCGGGTCTGGATTTAGGGCAGTTGGTCCTCGGGACAGGTTGGACAGAAGGGGCCAAGGTACAGAAGAATCCCGAGATTAGTGTGAGGCCCAGGCCCCCCCACGCACAGAACATGGACCATCCGTAGCCGTGGCTGATGTCATCGGGGAGTCCATACAGGTAGCGTGGGTAGCGTGACAGCTCGAAGTTGATTCCAGCCACACAGGTGCACAGTGAAATGATGCAGAAGGTTCCTGGAGGGCGAGGGAGGGAACACAGGGCGAGGGAGAGGGAGAGGGGGGAGAAGAGGGAAGGGGGGAGGGAGAGAGAGAGAGAGAGAGAGAAAGAGAGAGAGAGAAGTGAGGTTGGCGGCATTTTCAATTCTCTTGAGTAGGAAAGATGAGAAGACCCAGGTACAAGGCACCTGCAAACCAGATCAATATCTGGAAATATTCACAGAGAGGAGACTAGCGTGAAGAGATCATGGCTTCCTTGCTCTCCAAGAATTGCCTGGTCTTGGAAAAACTTGGCAAGTCTCTCCTGTGGGAAAATACTAAATGAGTACCACAGTAGAGTCTCATGTAGGGTGTGTAGTGGGGCAGAAGAAGGGGATTCAATTCATTTTTCTAAAGCACTGAAAATTCAGTCTTTTTTGGGGAGACACAAAAAACACCGCCCCTCTCCCGTTTGCTACTTTTTTAAAGAGAAAAACTATCTCTATTCTCTCCTACATAAAATGTTCTTATACAACACTGGGTTTTCCTTCTCCTGCAAGACAACATTCCCCAAAGCGTTCTCCGTGGAACACTGACCCTAGGAGATATTCCTTTACAAAGTGGCAGCAGAGTCCAAATCTCCGGGAAACTCTCTACGCAACTTCTCGCCTGTGAAGATTTATCACCCACAGTAGCATGAGCTCATGCATCTAACCTAGCCGTATGAGTATTTCACAAACTTAGTGAACGAGGGGAACTCCTCTTTAAAAAAAAAAAAATGACTCCTAGGAACCTTCAATGAGAAGGCTGCTTTAAGACATAGAATGTTATAAAAATGAGAATTATAAACCCATTTTTAACCATTAGAGATAAGTGGCATCCCCAAAATGAGTTCAAGAGCTTTTCTCAATATTGGCTGTGTCTCACGGCCCTTCTGACAGCCCTGATAGGGGAGGAAGGACCTGTGAAGTCTGAGAAGGCTGGGTTGGGTTGGCGGAAGGAAGAATTTTAGGGGGTGGGAACAAGAGTACGGGGCATTATAATTATATTTATTATAAGACCTCCTGCTTCCTGATGGTCAAGTTTCTTGAAGATCCGACCTCATCTATTGCAGGCCTCAGGCCCACGAGCGTGTGATCATTTCAATGTCCACAGTGGCGGCTTGTCCCTGTCCCCATTTGATTGAAGAAATTGAGGCCCAGAGAGGTTAAACCATCTGTCTGAAATCACACAACTAGTAACCGGTAGACCCAGGCTATGAACTCGGGCAGGCTAGTTCCAGAGCGTGCAGTCTCATCCTCTGTGCTAAGTCAGGCAAGGTGGGTCCCTCCCGTTATGTACCTGGGCTCAAGATGAATTCTCTACCACTCTGTCTGCGATAGGGTAGTCTGGAGGCTTGGACGGCTTGTTAAAGCAGAGGGCTGGGCCCTACCCCCCCCCCCCCGCCCCCAGTTTCTGGTTAGTAGGCCTGGTGTGGGAGAGGCCCTGAGAATTTGGATTTTTAACAAGGTCTTGGGTGATGTTGATGCTGCTGGTCCAGTGACTACACTTTGGGACCACTAAGTCGGGAAAAGGTTTTAGTAGAGAATGATGAAACTTAATAGTCCAAAGTTCAGAGGACAGAGGGGAAAAAATTACAAATGAGCAATACAAGTGAAAAATGCTCAATTTTGCCAATAACCAAAGACTTGAAAAATAAAACTGTAGTAACAGAACATAATCAAATCAGCTGAGTTTTGGTTTTTGTTTTGCTTTGTTTTTTAATGATTATTTCCAAAACTAGTGAGGGAGCAGTAACATGGACCAACACATGGACTCCAGGGGAAGTAAGTGTAAGCTGGTATTTCCTTACAGGAAAGTGATCCTCAAAATATTCGCACCTTTGACTTAGTGATTTCATTTTGGATTAAGAAAGGAATCCCACCTGGGAACAAAGATGTCACTATAAAGATGTGCATGTGGTGAAGGGTGCTTCTGACACGTGGCCGTTGGAGGGGGAGCCAGCGTGAGCCCCAGGTACCCAGTGAACACTGCTCTTTGAGCTGAGAGGTCCAAGCTTTCCGCAGAGTGACTGAAGGTGTTGAGTTCCTCTGGCAGCTCTGATCTGCACTCCCAAAGACCACTAAGGAGCCTGCTGCAAGGGCCAGGAGGAAGGGAGGTGGGGGCTGGCGTGGAGGGAGCAGGGCGCAGTGAGTAACTGTTCAGTGAACATTCCTTATGGAGGCGACCAAAAGCCATGCACTTAGGATGACCTGGGCTCAGGTGCCCCAGATATAAAACGTGTGTGTACGTGTGCATGCACATGTGTTTCTGTGTACGGATAGGCGCTTGTGTATGTATCTGTGCACAGTGCGTGTGTGTGTGTGTGTGTGTGTGCCCAAGCATGCACAAACACAGATGGCACCATCACTGCCTGAACAGGGGTCCCAAAGTTCGGGGAGTTACGAAGCAGCCCTGCCCCTCCTGCTGTGCACTGGGGTTCAGACGGAATTCTATGGTGTCCACGGTGGATTAGGTCCCACCTTGGTCCTGTGGAGTCAGCATCTCCCGGGGCAGAGGTTGGGGGGAATCTTTTGGTTTCAAAAGTCCCTCAGCTGATTTCTGTCGATCAAGCTGGTGAGACCCTCACATTAGGGCAGAGGGCCTTTGTGTAACAGAGCCGGGTGAAGGAAGCAGCAGAGGTGGTGCAGAAGGAAGGCGCAGCCTGTGGGGCGTGGCCAACGAGAAAGTGACAGGCTGCAAGTGCAAATAATCCACATTCCAACAAACCAGAGCTGGCCTGCTGTGCCTCAAGTATGCTTCTTTCACTGCCTGGTTCCGGAACCTGAGTATGCAGATATCATTTACTAAAATTTAGATGTAGGACAGGAAGTGTGTGAGTGTGTGCATGCATGCGTGCGTGCTGAGGTCAAATCTGAGCTGCCCTTGGAAGACACTCGGAACCATGGATCTGGAGCCTGATAGAAAGTTCTGAGCTAGAGGGGCGCCTGGGTGGCTAAGCATCCAACTCTTCGTTAAGCATCTGACTCTTGGTTTCGGCTCAGGTCATGGTCTCAGGGTCATGGGATCCAGCCCTGTGTCGGGCTCTGCACGCAGCTCACAGTCTGCTTGAGATTCTCCCTCCCTCCCCCTGTACCAGTTCCCCTGCTCGTGCTCTCTCTCTAAAATAAATGAATAAAATCTTAAAAAAAAAAAGTTCTGAGCTAGAGATGTGGACTGAATCTTATACGTTGAAGCTGTGCGTGTGAGGAAGTCACCCAAGGACTTTATATAAATCGTATCTACATAGGATGCTTTAAAAAATGGAGACATTTCTTCCCATCCAAAGGTGCTCTATCCTCCTGATTAAATCCAGTGATTTGTTCTGGGGGAGAAGGTTGACCTCCAGAACTTTTGATCTTCCCAAGTTGCCCGTAGCTGCAAAAGCTCGCTATCTACTGCTTTAACGGTGTGTTCTGCCAAGTTCTGCAAGGACAGGACAGAAAAGATGTGCTTGATAAATCGAGAGTAAGGAGATGAGGTCCGTGTGGACCTGATTATCAATTGGAAATGGCCCAGCTTATTGACAGAATACATCTTGTTGTGTTATGTTAATGGAGTTAATTGGGGGATCTTCCTGCCTTACCTTCCTGACAATTGTCCTGTGACTTTGGAATCTTTTTAAAGTTTCTGTTCGTTAGCTCTTGTCAATATTCCCCTCGATGGGGGAACACTTCTAGGGCCCTCACCAAAGCCAGCCCTCTGAGACAGTCATCTAAGCTACTTGTTGGGAAGTTCTGTGTGACTAAGAGGGCAGAGCTGGAGCACGTGCTGTTAGCTTCCACATGACGCTGCTGTTGTCCGTTACGATCGAGGACTGATCATTTTACATACTTCTGCGCTTCTAGATTCAAACTTGAAAATGTGTATTAAGAATTAGAAATGAAAATACGCAGGGGCGCCTGGGTGGCTCAGTCGGTTGAGTGGTCGGCTCTCGATTTCGGCTCAGGTCATGATCTCAGGGTTCTGGGATCAAGCCCCCTGTTGGGCTCCGTGCTCAGCAGGGAGTCTGCTTGGGATTCTCTCTCTCCCTCTCTCTGCCCCTCCCCCCTGCTTGTGCGCGTGCTCTCTCTCTCTCAAATAAATAAATCTTAAAAAAGAAAAGACATGGATATATGCAGGTATATGGTGGATCCTCGCTAAATGGACTAAATGGATAACTTGTTGCCATGCTTGTCAGCAGCGTCCTCTGACAACCCACCTCAAGGCGGACTTTGACCAGAGTCCCGGAGAGTGGAGAATGTGATGGGGGACAATGGTGGGCGAGGACCCTGCCCGACCCAGTTTTTTCAGGTGAGGAACGCAACTCTTAGACCTGTAAACCGGTGACTAACTGGGGGGTGTGGGGTGCAGAATGCCCCCCACCCCTTGCTGTCACCACAGCTCTCGGGTTCTCTGGTGGAACTACCACGGATGCTGAAAGCCTTTGTGGAAACCCTGCCTCAGCTGAAGGACGGTGGCCTCCTCTTCATTCACCCAAAGAACAGTGTGAGGTCCTCCACTCCCCCCGCCGCCCCCGCCCCCCGCCACAGCAGCAGACCGGAGCCTGTGGGGCTAGGTCTTCAGGATCTGTCATTTTATTCTCCACGAGCAGTTACTGAGACCTAAGTGAGGATCCAAGGAATAATACATAGTCACATCCTCTTAATAATTCCCCCCATGGCTTGCGGTTTGGGCCTAATTCCAATCAGACTCCAAGACTAACTATAGTCAGAGTACAGCAGTTACGTGAAAAGAAGTCTGCCCCAAGCCCTTCCTTCCGGAGCCAGGCTCTGCTGTGTGCTCCGGACCTGGCTGTGAGAAGCGGCAGGTGTCATGCAGGGTTCTGAAAGGATGGAACAGGATTCCCCCCAGGTGGTACACAGAAGGGGGTCCTCCCCTGGTCTGGAGAGCGTCCCTCCCTCACCCTCAGCGCCCCTCTGTCCCAGGTCTCTACGAAGAGATGAGAAGGCATGCCCACATACCACCGTCCCTGTGCCTCTCAGCTCCAAAACGCTCAC